TTCGACTCAATGTTCAACCAGGTGCACGCAAGTTTCCCAGAATGAGGCCAAGGTGCGGTCTGGTACTCAGCGGATGGACAACATCTTCCTGCGGCAGTTGATCAGCTCACGTATATACATATATACAACTGTAAACCCATTTCTGCCAACTCCATGGTTGGACTCAGGAGTGCCAAGCGCCACTTCACTAAAGTGAAGAAGGAGGGCGATGATTAGGTGATTGCGATCCTTTGGTGATCCAGTTTTTGGCTGCTGTGTGCTAACACGGCTTGCGGCAATTTGATGGACCTTCTAGCTCGATCTATAGGTTTGCATCCACGGCTTTGTGCTGGGACACTCCACGGGGTACTTTGCATGCGACTGCGCCCATGATGCAACTAACTTAAAAAATATAGACCCAGGCGCAGTGAAGCAAAGATTTGGAGGACCCAGTACGCATAGATGCTACGTAGTGCAGCTCGCAATTTGGGGCTAGATGGATGTGAAAAAATGAGTCTATGGCTAGCGCTACTTATAGGTGTCTTAGTTTGCTTTCACTGACAGCACCGCTCTCATTGGCACCCTCGCCAGGTCCTGGTCCCACGGCCAAAGCCTTTGCGGCCAATGTCGGAGAAGGAGCCCGCTGCTCAGAACGGCGAGGCCGCCATGCATCTACCGATCCAATGCGACCGTGAGTATAGAATGTTGCTTGGGATTGAAACCATATACCTTCAACATACTAAAATGGGAGGTGAACATGTTTTGATGGGCTTGCTTTTTGCATGGAATCGCTATTCCACCTGTCAGACTCCCTCTCTCTCTCTCTCTCTCCCTTTCGCCAACCAAGAAGGGACCAGGGCTGGGTTTAGCGGGTCACTGCATGATTTCCAGGAAATTGCAAGGGGCTACTTTTGGCTCACTCACTCCGTCTGATGTAAAGCCATCCCAATTCAACACCTTTTTGATAATTGTGTGCATGAAGGAGGGCTGCAGTCCAGCCACTACAGCCTTGAAAAAATCGGTATACCTGTTACCTGTTTGAGTGAACTAGAACTTTCCCTGTCGTATATGCATCCTTTGTGTCACATCCTTTTGATACAAATGTTCTCCAGCAGAGCAACACAAGAAACATATCACATGACGCGTTCAACTCTGAACATAGCTTGGTTATTGCTCTTTGCCCTGTTGCCAAGGCAAGCTGCCGCTCACAGATCAGAACTGCCAGAGCAGTTGCAGAAGAGCTTGGACCAGGGAAGTCAGCTTCCGGCGGAGTTGATGCATGGGCCAAAATTTGCTTGAACAATTCTGAGAGAGATTGCTCCAAGGTCGTGTTGAAACAACGGAGTAGGCTGAATGTGCCAATGTCATACTTGCAAATTCATGGCCGGGAGCTTCCGTGGATCCGCCCAAAAGATTGGATCCAATACATCATAGACAGTGATCTTTGGCACCACTTAGCTGGGCTGGATGATGCACACCGCCACCAAGCTGGAGAGGTTTGGCGATCTTTCTGGGACAAAATTGAGGCTATGCATCCTGAGCTGGACATCTTCAATGAAGAGTTCCATTTAGACCGGGAGAACACAGCAGGGATCTACGTGCGTGGAGATGAAGGCAGGTCCTTGAAAAAATCGGCCGTGATGGTGACATCGTTGCAATCGTGCTTAGGCATCGGCTTCAGTGACAAACTACGCGGCTGCAAGCGGAAGGTTGATGGAACGATCAAGCACGAGATAAACTACAGAGGGCACACCTACACTACGCGGTTTGTCAGCTCAATCATTCCAAAGCGGTTTTACGAGTCAGATCCCGATTTCTATCACAAAGTGATGGAGTCTACCGTGCACAGCCTTTGGGATCTTTTCCGCACAGGGGTCTTTGACAAGAAAGGCAACTGCCGCAAGATTTGCGTGCTAGGGGTCAAGGGCGACTAGCCAAGGTGGGTCGCTTTCAGAGACATTTCTCCACTGGCGCAAAGAGAGGAGTGGAGCGCAATGCTCCCAAGGGCAAATGCCACCTTTGCCTAGCAGGCTGCCGTGGCTTCCCTTACGAGGATCTGGTGAACTCGAGCGCGGCCTGGAGACAGACGATCGGCATCATGCCCCCTTGGTCACAGGCGCCCTGCTTTATGAAGTTGCCTCACAACCCGGCCCATGAGGCCAGCTTCTTTCAAGCTGATTTGTGGCACACGGTGCACTTGGGCATCGGCAAGTCGTGGGTATGTTCCACACTTCTACTTGCTGTGCACTTGGGCTTGGTTCCCGGAACCAACATGAATGCAAGGATGGAGGCGCTGACTCGGAGCTACCGGGCGTACTGCCGAAGTGCCCGCATGCAACCCATTGTGACCAAGTTCACAACCACCCTGCTCAGCTTCACGGACCCCAAAGGTCCGGTAGGGGCGTGGCACAAAGGAGCATTGACCTGTAACTTGCTGAAGTGGCTGGGCGAGTGGCTTGCAGACCTTCAACCAGCACATGGTGACCTTTTGCACCATGCCCTGCAGGGAACGAATCAGCTGAACAAACTGTTCAGCTACTTGTATCGAAGCCCGTTCTTTTTGAGCAAAAACGATTGTGACTACGTTGTTTCGTTGGGGCAAGGCTGGTTGATTGAGTACCGCCGGCTGGCAAAGGAGTCTTATGACCGAAAGCTCAACCTCTGGCCGCTTTTTCCAAAGCTTCATGGCATGGAGGAAATGATGCTGGCGCTTCAAAAGACTTCTGTGAACTCTGGCATAGGGATCAATTGCTTGGCAGTGGCATGCCAGCAGGATGAAGATTGTATTGGCAAGACAGCGCGGCTTTCCCGAAGGGTAAGCGCCCGGAGAGTAGTAATTCGTTCTTTTGAGCGGTATTTGACTCAAGCTCGTGTAGCTTGGACACGTGCTGGCCTAATTAGGTAGCTTCCTGTGCACTCACCTACCATGTTCTTGATTTAAGTGTTCTAGGGCTTAACCGCTTTTGTGGAAACCACCTAATACACGATAATGAAACTTACTTAATTGTTTCTAAAGGAAACGCTGATAACCAGGGTGAGTTTCTAGCTTTGACACCTGCGGTGCTGATGTGGCATCGATTCTCGGAGAACAAGAAGGCGGGCGGAGGCGCGCTGCGTGGCTTGGGTGGGTTTGTGGGGTGTCCACTTCCTGTCTATTGGGCTCTCACAAATCCATGAAATCAGAAACCTGGTTTTTTTATAAAAACCAGGTTATTTTCCTGGGACCACGAAAATGCAGGAAGTTGATGCCGCAGGTATATAAATATCTCCCCGAACCAAAATTTTGGGTTTAATTACGCCTGAATATCAAAAACATCAGTTAAAAATACAAACGACATATATATGTAAATATGCGTTCAACAATTACTATACAAACATTAATATACTGTAAATAACAATATAGTATTCTTATCTTTAAATGTAAGTTTGTTACATTATTATGTTTGCATTCTTGAACTCCTTATTTCCTGAACAAAAAGAACCCAAGGCTTGGCGTCCCTGCACTCACGGATGATTGGAGTTCTTTGGGATACCCTTGTAGTATTGACGACGAGGGCAATAGATGTGTTTGGGTCACGATTGAGCAAACAAAGGATATTTTTACGGGTTCGCACTACAGCGGACGGTCAAAACAGGTGAAACAGAAAGAGACAAAGACAGACAAGAAGATCCAGAAACACACAGGTTACAATAGCACAGCCCACTAGCTGTTGTTGTTTCATCTCTCCGGGGTCCCCTTAGACCATAAAAAAGGTTCCTTTCCCATTTTTTGCCTAGTAACTGGGGTTCTGGCTTCTATCAGGGTTCCAGGTTTTGTAAGGGGAATCAAGCAGCAGGACAACATAACTCTGCAAACTTCAGCGCCCAGCTGCATACAGCCGCAGAGCCAACCTTTTTTCCATCGCAAATATGTCTTGCGAGACCCACTCCACTCCACTCCACTCCACTCAACTCCACTCAACTCACTCCCTCACTCCCTCACTCACTCACTCCTCACTCACCCACTCACTCACTCACCCACTCACCCACGCACTCACCCACTCACTCACCCACTCACTCACTCACTCACCACCACCATCACCACCACGATCTCCACCTTTATCTAACTAACGGTTTGAGATCCCAAATGGTCTTTCTCAAAGAAAGTCCAGCATGGTCATTAAAAAATTGGTCAATGCCAAGCTCGCATGCTAAGTGTCATGCCGTCAACTCGACGTTGGTGAAACGTCAGTGGCCTTGAGCCACTGTGCGCCGGTGCAAGTGTCGAGCTGCACCTTCAGTTTCCAGTGTTGCTGCCACCTGATCTGGATCACTGTGCCTTCCGCTGTGTCGAGGCCACTGCCACTTGACTCGGTGCTACGCGGACACTGGGCAAGGTGGAGTCTTACCAGACTTAGCCAAAAGCTTCTGCCGCAGGGAGGAGTCTTCTGGGCTTACTTGGGCCAAGGTCTACAGCACTTGAAGGTAGCACAGGCGTCGCTACAAATGACCCAGTGCAAGTCACAATGATCACCAACCAGAGAGGCACTTGTTCTTGCGCCCTTCCTGACTGGGACGGGTTGCTGGCCCCTCGTCTGCATGTAGGTGCGGCGCAGTGAGGCCTGTTCTTGCTGCTGCTCAGCTGTTAGGATCGTGGCGTCTGTTCCCAGCGAATCTGCACCACTGTGCCCTGCCACTCTCCGGTCTCTGCCGTGTCCAAATTAAACGTCTGAACGTGTCCACTGCCACTGGACCCGCACAGGGCGGTGCTTGGCGTATAGCGGCTGCTTTCTCGCTGACAGGGAGGCCCCAGCGACCTGGAGGACCGTGGAGGACCGCACCGCTGCGGGCACGCGCGGTCAGGCCGGCCCAGGGGAGTTCAAAAGGGTGCATTCGACCGATGTAAAGTCACCCTCTCTGTATACGGAACCATTGCAAGCAACACCAATCCTCCAGCGCCACCCGCGCCACCCGCGCCGCGCGACTCGAATCGCGCGACACGCAACGACACGAATCGCACGGCATCTCGACAGCCCAGTCACGAGACGTTACCTTCAATGGTAATCTGGTTGTTGTCCCAAATCCAGCCTGATCGCCGTTTCGCTTCGCTGGGCGGGTCCCGATCGGGTCACTGACGATGGATCGGGTTTGGGTCGGTCGGGGTGGTGGTCCATGTCCCGTGTTGCACGGAAAAGGGCCTTCATTCTTGGGGCACCACATGTTACGACCTGGTCGTTCCCGACATGTAGAGTGTGTTCAGAACCTAACACCCATGTGTTTGCACTGGTTGGCGAGAGGAGAGCGAGCTCGTCTTGAACACGACACGAGGAGCACGAGGCGAGAGGGGTTTCTGACCACGTGCCCAAGAAAAGGAAACAAGAGCCATTCTGAAGAAGTGATACATGGTGATACAGACACTTTCTAGATACCATGAAGCTACTTTGGGTGAAAGTGAAACACGATTCCTATGAGTCTCCTTCTACGATGCCAGCATGCTACCTGCTACTTTGGGTGTGCATGTCAAACACCTTCCTAGCCAAGTCGCAGGGCTAGAGGAAGAATCACTGACATACAGCGATTTCGCGGATGGACCATGAATCACGAGTATGGCCCAAACAGAGGCGGCCAAAGCCTGTTTAAAGGATGAAAGCAAAGAACCAAAACCAACTCTCTGACAATGGATTTGCATCAAGAGCCCCGGAAAAGAAACAGGATACATACATCCTTCTCCACGAAATTCACCCCACTTCGGTCACCCTCTTTCCGCCCAAGTCACCCCCCCGGCTCAAACAGCCACAAACAGCCCACGCATGGATCGCTGCTTTCAGCGCCGCTGCGACATCACATCCCCGTTCGACTTCCGTTTGACCATGAGAAATCCCAGACACGACCTGTCTGGGACTGCCAGGACGGACTGCGTCTCGAAACGGCCAGGGGTGGTGGTGTCTGGCGGGTCAATGTAGGTGGCAGTCCGTCCTGGCAGTCCCAGACAGGTCGTGTTTGGGAATAATGGTTGACCTGGGTCTTGCAGTGTCAAAATCCTTAGTTGATTCGGGATGACCCGCCTATTAATGGTTGTTGGAAGCCTAGGGATTCCCTCCAACCCCAATCCCATCGTCCGAGGCACAAAGATTGCTCAACTTCAGATGGCCTGTGCGGGCGGTCGAGGGGTGGCACTGGGAGGGATGCGAAAGCCACCCCGAATGGAAGTGGAGGTAGGTAGGTGGAAACCACCCTGCGGGATATATACTTTTAGAGGAAAGCGTTTTTCCCCCAAGGGGCTCTCTCTCTTCAATCACTTGAAGACTTCCATGTTAGTGGGTCGGAGCGTCAACAAATCACGTATAAACACTACGCTCCGTTGGATGGCCTCGTGATGGCCAGTTTGAGCCTGGCAGCCGAGGCTGCCAATTCGCAGGCAGATCATCTGTTTGGGGTGACCGGGTGACCGAACTGGTTCCTGATGGATCCTGATGGCCCGTTGGATGTTTCTACCTGGCACCAGGGTCTGCCTGACCAATAGCTGCTTCGGTCAGCTGAGCACCGGTCCCACCTGCCTGGTTTTCGTTTTCTTTCCGCATATGCCCACATTGAGCCCCTTGGTCACCACCCTGGCCGTTTCTCAGCATATACATGGCGTGTTTGGGATTTGGAATCCTTTCTTTCGTATTCTGAGGGAAGCCCCGTGCGCCCACCGGCGGCTGAAGCTCCTCTGGGGAGAGGTTGGGACTCCGGTTTTCCACGCGCGAGCACCGGCAGATGGACCGCGCCGCGAGGTGAGTAGCAGGAAGCTGCGGAAAAGAGATCCACCCGTTCAAAGTGAGATGGACTGCATTTGGTAGGAGGGAAATCCTGTGAGAAATGGTACAGTATCTTTGGCTGAACCATGTGGTTCACCCCTCCTTCTGGGACGAGATGATGCTATCTGCAGAGATTCTGCACAGATCATAAAGCGTGTCTTGGGGCGACCATGGGCTCTTCTGAAAAGCCACAGATCAACATCGTGTATTTCTCCCTTTCTCCCTTTCTCCGGGTTTTAACAACTCTGTCAAAACTCCCCAAAAGCATCTCCACTCGAACTTGACAAAGGAAATCAACATACACTACCCCAGACACTCCATGGGACTGCCATATATGCCACCTACATTGACCCCCCAGACCACCACCCCAACTGATCAGTCCTATGGCAGCCCTATTGGCGGTACTGTCTGGGAACCCAACTACGAACACTACCGTCTACTCACACATCTAATTCACCACACCTCACAAGGGGACCAAGGAAATCAACATACCAGGACCCGACAGGATCGGGGTGTCTATTTATAGCCCCTTACAGCCGTTGATTTTGGGGGTGTCCATGAACCAAATCTCTACCGGCAACTACACACACGACCGTCCTACTCACATACCAATTACAATCCACTACCGTCTACCATCTACCCTCCACTACCCTCCTACTACATCTCTACCCACACACCTCTACCCACCAATTCACCCATCCATTCAGAGAGCTTGAACAGCCTGCCTTATAATAGCGCCCATCCCCATACGTACCACGGAAATGGACACCCCTCTACCCGACCCACACCTCTCTACCATTCTCGTGGCCCACGGAAATGGGCTCCGAACGTTCAGGTCTCGACGACTCCCAAACGACGCGACACGCCGCCTGCGAGGCTCGCGGCCTCGGAGCTCAGGCCCTCCTGGGACCGACGCGTCCGGCCAGGGGTGAAAAGGACGAGGCACCTTTAAGGGATGGTGATGAGGCCATCAAACGTGGATAGTGATGAATGACATAGGATGATGAGATGGATCCGATGATAGATGACATGACGACGGGAGAGGAACCAAAAACAGGAGCAGCGAAAACAGCCCCAAAGAGGTCCCAACAGATCATGCGAAAGGCCTAGGCCAGGCCATTTCCCAATGGCTTCTTTTCAGAGATCGCTGGTGGTCTGGACATCCGATCGGAACTTCCGACCACCTCCTCTTGCAGCCATTGATGTGGTCTGCGCTTCTTGAGACGTGACGAACGGGTCCCACAAGATCCACTCGTGGGAATCCGTGCTCCCAGATGGAATCCACCTGTTTTCACTCTAGCCGTCCGAGAACACCTGGTTTTCAAGAGTTCCGTTGAGCTTTTTGCTTGGGTAGTCCAAAAATCAGTAAAAGAATGCTGGGTGAGGAATCACAGGGCGATATCTATAGTGTGGGGATGTGTGGACTATCCTTGACATGCCTAGAGACCTGGAGAGGCTATAGTGCGGGGTAGCCCGGCCCGTGCAGGGGCACCAGTGAGATCGCCAATAGGAGGGCAAAAATCGGAGGTTGCTGAGGGGATTCACTTTGTCCTATACCCTAGAAGTCCAGTTCGACGATATTTTGACCGACTGAAGTGTTCAGGAAATTCCTGAACTCGGGTCACCTAGACCATTCTTTGTATAGTCGACTTGACTCGCAGGGTATATGTTTGGCGCATTCTTTTTGTCCAGACCCAAAACACGACCTGCCTGCTACACTCCATGGGGCTGCCATATTTGCCGATCAGGCCAGGGGTGGTGAGCCGGGGGGTCAATGGGGCGGCATATATTCCATTCATGGAGTGTCTGGGTCTGGATCTTGCACCACATGCTCATGCTGGACCTCGGACACCCATTCTTGGATGATCCTGGCTTTTTGAGCTTTGCTCCTGGCAATGGCCTGAAGGAAGTTGAGCCAAGAGTTCTTGCCACCAACCACTCACCCAATGTTCACCAGTTCTAGCACCAGCAACCATGCAGCTTTCTCACACCAGCAACCGGGCTTCTCACGAACGTGTCGCTCCTGCATATCGCCATCACTGGCCAAGGCAAACACGTCGAAGCCAAACAACTTGAACTCTGGCCTTGGATCAACTCTAGTAGATCAACTCTATAGTAGCTAAAAGGCTAAAAGGCTACGAACTAGTCGCAGGGGCATTGCTACTAGTGTCAAAGGGCATGATTACTAGACTACTAGCTATAGAAGCTACGAACGTAGCAAAGGGAGCTATCTTCATCAACGGGTGGATCAAGTCCAGTGGCCCGAAGTTTTGGGACACCCAAAGAAGCCCCAACATGAACGGAATGGAGGGGGTTGTGTTTTGAACTTTGTTGCATCTACCAGCACCACCCAAGGGGTGGATATTAGATGGAAAATACATCTTCAGGGGGGTCTATAAACCACCCTTTGGGTGGTGCTGGTAGTACTTCTTAGTTACTGTAAATGACCTTGTTACTAGTGTACGCGATGCACTTGTTACTAGGTGATCGGAGAGTCCTAGGCTATAGGTGCGGTTGGTTTTGCCCGGCCAGCTCGATAAACAGAACGGGGGATTGGGTCTTGCACAGGGCCCAGAACGAGCCCGAGAAGCGAGTGTAATCATTACCCATTGCAAACCTTTAGGACATCAGCATGTGGAAGCACTCTGTTTTGTGGCTGAAATAGGGAGTGCACATGCTGCAGGCCTATCTGTCTGGCAGGAACCCTCCCAAATTCTTCCAGTGTTGAAGGGTTCTGCCTCCTTCCATGTCCTTTGTATGCCGCAGGGTCCTCACATATTTCACGGCCATAAAGGCTAAACATCGTCTACCGGCAATGGCAAATAGAATACATGTGATTGCATGCAGCAGTCTTGAGTGGTGCCTTCCGGTCCTGAAAAAAAGAAGCACATTGCTCTCAAGCCGGCTGGGAGCAGAAGAATGGACCCACGGAAGCTCGTGACACGAGAGGGATTTGCGGATCTTTGCTGTGTTTTGTTTCTTTTTCATACACCGAGACTTGCGGCACCCTGACACTTCATAGTATATGGCATAGTGGGACTGGCATGTATGCCGATCAGTTGGAGTGGATGATGGTCATAACGGGTCATATAATGTCAATATGCCGGTCCCAAACAGATCATGGCTGGGTATGAATCAATGGGAAAAGCCTGGAAAAGCTCTGGGAACACATCAAACCATGGATGGAAAGAGGGGAACTGTAAGAAAATCCTTCAACATCCATTCTGGCACATCGGGCGATCCTCCGGCCAAAACCGAGCGGCTTATTGAACCTCGCCCCGAGCCACTTCGAGGCAATCGCCATGCCTGGCACATCGGACCGATGATCTCCCGCCGGGTAGCAGTGTGTCCGAACCACCTGCGGTGTGTCCGGCTACGGGAGGCCATCGTAGCGCTGGCCGAAGCAAGCTCCAAACGCGATGGGGAACCTCGATCGCTTTTTGAGGCCGGGAGGTTGGTCCAAAGGCTTTTTGGTCGATGTCCCTTTGGGAGGAGGTCTCCCTAAGCCCCCTGGTCCAAATGGGTTTGGTCTGTTTTGCCTATTTCCCTTCGGGAGGAGGTCTCCCTATATGGTCACCCTACACACCGCTACATGGTCACCGGAGTTACTTCGGTCTTCCCGGGCCGGACCAACAGCAGCTTCCACCGCAGCTCTGGAGATCGACCCAGTTCTTCGGTCGGATCCGCGAGAGGGACGTGGTCACCACGACCCTCTCCCCAGCCGAAGAAAGGGCGGGGGGTCTCCATTTGGATTGAAGGAATACCCTGGAAACTTGGGTTTTAGAGATGAAAAGGCATACCCTGGGAGTCAAGTCGACTATCAAAAGAATGGTCTGACTAGGCGACCCGAGTTCAGGAAGATGCTTTACTTCAGTGGGGCAAAATATAGTCGAACTGGACTTCTAGGGTAATACCTCTTCCTGTGGGGTTCTGATTCACCAAGAGTTTACCCAAACGCTCCGTTCACAGCCCGACAGTGACAGCTGCCTGAAAATCTGGATTGCTGAGAAACGGCAGACCCCTCCAGAAATTCGCGTCCAGGGTCGTGTCTGGGTAGAAAACCGAACAAACTCAATCCGAAGGACCTTCTACTCGAAGTCTGCCTGGAAGGGGCGAGCCGTGAAGAAGAACACAGCGCTTTCGGGAAAGAAGGGCACGGCATCGTCCATCAGGATCGCGTGCCCTGGAGCACCACGGAGTAAACCATCAGGATCGCGTGCCCTGGTTGTCTCACAGGATCATTCTGCAAACACATTTTTTGGTTCATCTTCTTCCCCAGCTCAGATTTCGTTCCCCGCTCCCCAGAACCAAGGAACCTCGCCGCGACCCTCAGTCACGGCCCCTTTCTCCTCGGCCATCGCTCCGTTCGGCCGCACCCACTCCTCGCTCGGAGCGGACCGGCCTACGCTGGTGGCCACACCCTGCGCCAAGGGTCCAGTGGTGACCTCCACACCGGTGGTCTCACCTAGGTCGCTCGAGCGACATCGCGTCTGCACCGGTGAACGCGGTGGATGGCGGCTCCGCGTCAGACCGCTCCGCGGTGCACCGGTTAAGAGGTCGACGCCATGTCACATGTTCTTCGGACAGACCGATCCATCTGACGGACTGGCCAAATGTTCGGTGCCTTTTTTGCCTCTTTCATCGAGTAAACCCCAGGCAAGTAAAGGCAAAAGATGCATATAGTTGGAAGATCATAAGGGCAGCTTCTTAGGCTATCCTTCAGCTTTTGTGAAGATCTCGGTCTGTGGGTCCTGCTCCTGACGGAGAAAGGTACTGCTACAACACATGAGCCTTCCTGCAATGCGGTGCTTGGGCTTATGACGCGACACGGTGGTCTTACAGCCAAGAAGAGTGCTCCAACGTGTTTAGCGCCTGACTAGCAAGGGTGTGGCAGCAAAAACACTCTCAACAAAAGAAGCTTGGTTGCCTTGACATTTGTCAAAAAAAGTCAGGACCCCCGATTGAAGACTGGTGGAAAAGGAGAAGTAGATGAACCCCCTTGGTTCTGCAATGTGTTCAATCCTTTTGTTAGATCACATGTCACACGTCTGAAACTGCAGGGCCCCCTGACAGGAGGTCTGTCCTCTTAATTCTTTCATCTTCTTTCGCTCTTCCACCAAAGGACATGCCATTTTTCAGTGTGTTCTGAGTTCCTGATAGATTCACGGAGCTCAATCCACCAAACCACCACACCACACCACATCCTTCCCACATTGCACAAACATCGCCAAACCGTCAACTTCATTTGCTTCCCGCATGTCATATGTCATATTTTGGTACATTGACATGTACCCCTCAATTAAACGATCCTAAGTCAGTGTTGACCTGCTTCGCCCACCAGGCGAACCGAGCTTCTCCATGCCACTTCCTCCCCCCACCAAACCAAACGATGTCTTCCGCCGTTCGCCGTGCGACGCGGTTCCGGCGCTTCGGCCCTTCCTCGGCCCTTCACGGCACTCGGCGTCCCCGGCCGAACTCCGGATGCCCTGGGCATTTCGAGCTGAACTGCCGAAACTCCTGGCGGGTCCGTTCCGGGTCCCGTTTCCGGGGTCCGTCTCCGTGAGACGCGTTCCGTGGCGAGTTGTGGATCCGCGTGGTGGAAAGCGGGTGGACGTGGTGGTTTTGGGGGGGAGGTGACAGATTATAAAGGCGCCCAAGAGAAAAAGGGTTCAGGTTCTGGGTAGAGAGAGAGAGATGACAGGACCTTCGATGTTCGGAGAAAAATGCCCAGATTGACTCAATGCGGATCTGTTCCATCTTCTTTCAACCTTCAGGTCCGGTTCTCTTAATGGAGAATCTGTTCGGAGTTCCCAGGCCTCGTTCGCTCAGTTTTATGAGATCAGAAACCCTCGTTTTCCGGTTCCTCACCGCCGTCGTGGGGGGATGGGGGATCCTGGAAGAGGGGCGAATGACTTCCGTCGCTCCTTCCAAGCGGTCAACTCGGCGGCAAAGCCTAAACTGATTCACCGACTCATGAACTACCTCACCTGCCAGTGGACAAAAACATGAATCCACCCTATATAGGCCCTATATCCCAAACACGACCCATGGGACTGCCATATATGCCACCCCATTGACCCCCCGGTCACCCCTGGCCTGATCGGCATCTATGGCAGCCCCAGACAGGTCGTGCCTGGGAACATGCTTGAGGTCTTACTTACTTCGAGGCTCGTCCAGACTCCGAACCCTCCAAAAGCAGCGCCCCGCAACCATGCGTTCATCGCTCAGGCCTTGATATCCTCCAATGACACGGCCAGTTGCCCTGTGACCTGCCATGAGTCATATCCGGGAGGTCCCTACATCAACAGTCCACCACTCAGTCCACTCAGTCCACCCTGAGCTGAGCTGACTGAGGGGCGGCATGCCACCTAATGGCTTCGTCCAAAACGGTGCCTGCCCTCTTCTATGACTCCAAACAAAGCAATTCCATCAGGTGAACTATCCTGACCCCTGAGCCGGCAACATCCCCCCAAACAACCTATATAATCTTTCCACCGAAGAAGGCCGAAGCGCGAGGACGGGGAGGACGCCGAGGACGCCGGGTCTCGCGAAGACGGCGGGTCTCTGCGGCCCTCGCGAGTTCGGACTTGGCTGGGCCCCTCTTCGTCCCATCCGTGGAGCTGGATGCCACAGAGAGGTTGAGAGACCTGAACTAAGACCCTGTAGGCCCTGGTCTGTGGTATATCTGGGATGGGCGCAGGAAACAACCTCTCTTGGTGGTTCGTGGGACGTCCCACGTCCCACCCCCCCCCCTCTTCGACCCTTCCGAACCATGGCTTCGAACAACGGGCGATGAACCGAACGGAGGTCCCACGACTGCGGCATGAGGGCAGAGGCCAGGGACATGAACACCAGGGACCACAAGCTATGAAGCGCTCAAGACGAAGAATCTGTCCAAACAAGCTATACCAGGACACCCTAAGGGGTGTCTATTGATAGCCCCTTAGAGGTTAAGGGGTGTCCATTAACCACCCCTTGTGGGTCCTAGTATATGAAGGGCAATAGCTTGGAGTCTGTTTCTTCGAGTACCAAGGATCTCGAGGGGTGGATGACCATGCCGTTCTTGGGAAACCAGGTAGGTCATCGGTGAACCGTTGATCTACCCATCCCAAACACGACCTGTCTGGGACTGCCAGGACGGACTGCCGAGAAACGGCCAGGGGTGGTGACCGGGGGGTCAATGGGGTGGCAGTCCTATGGCAGTCCCATGGAGTGTTTGGGCATGTTTTGCTCTTCTCTTCACCATTCTTCACCACTTCTCTGCTCATCTCTGCCTCCAGCGTTGATCTTTCTTTCAGCTGTCCGCCACGGTGCTTCTTCGAGGCCCTCCAACCCCAACGCAGCGACGCCGCTTCGCGTCTGGGCCGGACGAAGCGTCCGCCGCTCGAGCTAGGTCGAGCTAGGTCTGGTCTGCAGCGCTTGCTGTTTCAATCCCTTCAGGCGAGTCGAAGTGGGTCACCATCTCAGCATGGGGCCGCACTTTTTCACTCTGCCCAGAGGATTCATGTACAGTAAACTGTACCCACCACCCAAAACCATCAAATGTAGGCGATATTTGCTTAACATAGATTAGATCGTCTGGGGGCTCAGCTTGGTCCTCTGTGGTTGATCGATGGATGTTCTTCTGGCCTCTGCCGTCACTCGTCACTCCTGGATATCTTCGACATGCCTCAACGGTGGAACTTCGACTCGCACTCCTGTTGCTCCATGTCCATGCCTGGCGGTACCTATCGTCATTCACAGATGCTCAGCATCTGCATGAAGTTGGTGATGAATGAATTGCAACCGTTGCCTCATTTGAAGGCAAAAAGGTCACTATAGTTTGTTTTGGATCTTGGATGAATCTTGATGCATTTGTGGAGGTCTTTTCCTGCTTTTGGGGCTTTGACGGCTTACGTATGCATGCGCTGTTTGCTGCGTTGCTGTCTGCGTTTGGATCTTGGCTTTGCTGCGCCGGATGTTTGGGGGACCATCTTTCACGCTCCGAACATCGATGTGCTTCTCCCGGAAATACTGCAATGTGTGTGTTCTTCACCTCAAAACAACGGTTCGGGTTCGGGTTCGGTGAACACATCCCTGACGAACTGTTTCTTTTCTTCGTCGCCTGGCGACGTCTGTGCCTAGTTTATCACATACGGAAGACTTATTATTATTACACTTGTGGGGTTCTCCGGTCCAACTGTTCAAAGAAGCCACAGGTGCATGCATCCACAGATGCGACTGGAGGGTGAAGCATCACCCGCAGTTGTGTCGCCAGGACGGTCGCGACTCGCGTCGTGTGCCTCGTCGGAGTTGGACACCTGCGGTGTGGGCCGTGTGCGGTGTGGGCCACGGAGACCACCGGAGCTTCCACACACTCCCAGGTGTGGCCAGGTCAGGGGGTAGTACGATATAAGGACCAAACAGGGCGAGGCTTGGGGAGTTCAAAACTACCCCAAGAGGGACAGAAGACTTTTGTTGGCTAGGACACCTCACTCCAGTACACAGGGGGAAGGTCAGAGGTGTTTTTTCTCCCAAACACGACCTGGGTGTCTGGGTCTATCATATTGGCCGAGAAACGGCTGACCGGGGTGATGACCGGGGGTGAATGTATAGGCATATATGTCCCATGGAGTGTCTGGGAAAGGGTCTTAGGATGTCTTAGGTTTTGAATGGACTTGAGATGTTTTTGAGACTTTCCAGGGGTTTCCCAGGGGCCCTCAAAGCGCCCCCTAAGCCTTAGGGCAGGGTATCGGCATCATGGGAATTTCTGGGAGGTGTCTCTTTCCTGACAGCAACGAACGAGCCAGACACTTCTTTTAAAATACCGAGTGACACGAAAAACGGAGGAAGGCAACATGTCATGTGAAGGATATGGTGAATTGAGTGTCCAGCCACGACATGGGCTTCTTAATGAGCAATTGAACAATGATGAACCGATGAACCATGCCAGATTAAGCTTTGGGGTGTCATCTTCTGATCAGATGCAATCGAAGGTGGGCCCCAAATGGTCCCAATAGACTTGTTCAAAAAACTATTTGGACCTCGTTGGACATCGTTCCTCTCGCGGCCGCCCAAGATAGCAACCAATGAGAGAAATCCTTTCACCGTCCACCTTTGCAGCGGAGTTGTTGAGACATTTTCCGAATTTTCCCTTTGTCCTTTTCTGCATGGATGATATCCTCTTCAGACTCAGGAGGCGCTTTCAAAGAACTCTCTTCTTCAAGCTCTGCGGAGAGCTCGTGGCGGCCGGGTGACGGGTGCCTCCTTGACACCCGCCAAGTGGAGAAGTCCATAGAGAAGCATCGAAGCGTGGCCTCGCCAACGGCCGAAACGCATCGCGAGGCTGTTTCAGCTTCGTCTTACCTTCATAATGTTATTTTTTTCTTTTCGGACGGATCATGACGGATCGATGGACGCCGTCCAAAACGATGGCATCCAATTTCCAGGACATGTTCCACCCAGACCGGCGACGTCCGGACCCTCCTAAGCAGTGTCGGGAATCGGACCCCGGATGACCCCGAACTGGGTCCCGGGGTCCGGACCTTCGAAGCCAATCCCTAGGGTTTGGTTCGGGACCAACAAGGGCGTCGGGGTCGCGTCTGGGCAGTCCAACTTCTCTTCTCCGGGTTGGCTCACGACACGTGTGCTGCGACAGCTTCGTTCTCCGGACTTCGTTGCGGGTCCAGGGCGCCCATGGAGAGGACGAAGCGATCGCGGTTCATCCAGTGCGGTGCTTCCGGATCGAAGCTCAGAATCCTGGGCGCGGCGCGGAATCCACGCTGCGGAGCCAAGGAAGGAACCGATTTCATCATATTTCATCCGATTTCGAAAGGTGGCATTTCTAGGCTGGCTAATGCTAGCTATATAGGTATACTGTAACTAGGGTCCTTTTCAGGTCTCTCAACCTCTCTTAGAAGGAAGGCATCCCCTAAGGGTCCAGGACCATCCTGAGGATGTCCTTTGGCCCCAAAGACCATTCTCAGGAAATACGTACTCACCTCCGGGCCATGACCGATCAACGGATGGTTCCTGGACCCTGGACGCCTGGACGCATCAGGACTTCAGAACTCGAACAAGACCGAAGGTCCGGAGACCCTGGGAGGTCAAGACACACCGTACCGCGGGGCGGTACCATCGTGTACGAGGAAGGGCCACACCAACGACTTCCGCCGCAAGCCGACCCGACCGAGAGCGGCGGACGAAAACGAAGCCCCACAAACTCATTCGACTCACAACCTGATGCTTCTAATTTCTCATGCAAGATCATTCCAACATATTCCAACTATATCCAAAGATTTCTGCCGAACTTGGCTATCTTGGCTGAAGCTGAATCAAAGAAAAGGCCACGATTTGCGGCACAGTTGGAAGATCTAGGTCTCATTTCCGGCATTCGGATTTCGGAGACGTCATGGTCCTCCCACATTGGAGGGTGTGGAAACCCACCGTTTTGGAAGACCATGATGATTCATGATGAATTCCTAGGGGTGTGTCTGACCCGGCACACCTTTTCAACCCCTCCCCCTGGCCCCACGCACGTCCCTCGCTTTCGCTTTCGCGTCCCTCCACCCCGGCCTGGCCCACAAGGCATAGGCCACCGGAGCCATCGCCATGGGTGTTCCCGGGTGCCCCGAGTTGGCCTGGAGCTCGGAGTAGGTTGGCTTATGTTCCATGTCCGCCTGGTAGTGATTCTGCCCCCCACTGCTCCCTCCCCCAAAAAAGAAGAAACACATGCACTCAACTGCCTTAGAATCATCCGCTGGCTTCGTGGATCTTCGTGGACATCACGCAGCGACCCCTTCGACATCACGCGACGCGGCGACGCGACGCGGCGACGCATCGGGGGTCACCGGACTTCAGCTCCGAGCGCCTGCTGCACGGCGTCCATCGCCAAGCTCCGCAGGCAGTTGATGACCAACTCATCGCCCTTGCGCACCGCCTCGCAGGCGCAATCAACAGAGGTGGGTCAGGACCTGAACGTTCGACTATGCCAGTTCGGTACCCCAGGTGACAGGTCCTATTTACGGTCACTGGCTACCTACCTCTCTTGGAAGGGGCGTTCTCGCGGAGGAGGAGGTTCTCCCGCGTCCCCGGGTGGAGGGGTCTCCGTTTTGAGGGACCGGTCGGGCGGTCGTTCGGGGGTCGCGTTTGTGGCTGGTTCCACCAAACCCGCGGTGATGGTCCGGACCCACGAGAAGGGCTCCAGAGGATTCGGGGTCCGACCGGGGTCGGGGGCGGAACGGGGGTGGCGGTGTGGCCTCGTCCTGCGACTTGCGCTCCTTGTGTCCGCCAAAGATCAGGTCCTGGGAGGCTTTCGAGCAGAGAGCAGCGCGCTTGCGCTGCTAGCTGGTGGCGTTTGGGAAGCCAGGGCAGTATAGTCTTTCCTTGTTTCCAGGTCTAGGAAGCTTCATAGGCTTCATGGGGGTCCAGAACTATCATCTAAAGAAGGTATATTATAGCTGTTGGCGCTTTGCTCTTAATCCACGGAGGATGTGTCTTCTCGAAACCTCCTGGAGCCGACTCTGGGGGTAAGGGATCAAAAAAAATAAGAAAAGAATCAAAAAACAAATATTCAACGGGGATCAATAAAAAAATAAAAAGGGAATCAAAAAAATATTCTAGCCCACTGAGGATGGTTGGGGTAGTAGTAGTAGTAGTAGTAGTAGTAGTAGCAGTAGCAGTAGCAGTAGCAGTAGCAGTAGCAGCAGCAGCAGCAGCAGCACCAGCGTAGCAGTAGCAGTAGCAGCAGCAGCACAGGACCAGAGGACCAGGAGACCGGAGGACTAGGGGACCAGTGGACTGAAGGACCAAGGGACCAGGGGACCAAAGGACCAGTGGACCAGAGGACCAATGGACCAAGGGACGACATTACCAGAGGACCCGCAGACCACAAGGCCAGGAGAGCAGCAGAAGAGGCCTATCAAGGAATATTAATTTTTTGATCCTGTTTTTATTTTATTTTTTGATGCTCTTTTTATTTTTTTTTGATACCTATGCCCGACTCTGGTCCGTTTCCTCTGCGTTTCCTCATGAGCCCTGGAACTTGCATCCGCTTGGAACACTCCCTGGAACTTCTGGAAGTGGACCACTCTGTTCGTCTGTTCGTAGATGGCATGACCAGCTGGCTCAGTAACGGGGACCATGCCATCCACGGCGCCGGGGAACACAAGCAGCTGAGTGTTTCTGGCCTCTTCGTTTCTTCAATGTACCGCCTCCCGCCTCGATGGTTAGCGTCTTGGCCTCCATCGTCCGCTGATCATAGGCACCTCAGGACGGGAAACCATGCGATGTTCAACACCAAGCGGGAGTGAGTTGGTGCTTTGGGTTTTGGGATACCAGGAGCTTCTGACTCCGGGCCGGCGGCTGGGTTTGGGGATACTAACGTCGCCTCAGCATGCCCCAAAGGAAGAGCAGCGCACCACCTGGTGGAATGAGAGGTGGTACCAGGTAGCCTTCGGCATGGAGTTGACAGGTCACTCCCTGATTTCTTTCCCCCGTGCTCGGTACTCCCCGTGCTCGGACGACTCTCGCTTGGGAGAAGACCGTTGGGCCCATGGGGATCACCATTTGCGACGTCGGGAGACTGGGGAGACCTCATGGTCATCAGTGAATATGCAGAGACCTGACTTCCTCCCTCCCCTGGGTCTGCCCTGAAATACAGCATTTCCGGAGTGGAGTAAGGGGCGTAACGGGATAGGATAGACCCAAGCATAGGGTCTTGTTGGATGGTTTACTTCGTCCCATCCAAGACCCCCCGTGGAGTCATGACTCCTGGATCACATGGAAGGCGAGGATGAGATGGATGGGGGACAACTCCTGGAGATTTACTTATCATGCATACTGCATACTCGTTTTAGTGGCTTTCCCTTTCCTCCAAAACATTTGATTATGAATATCTTGGCCACATAATAAAGAATCACATACCTAGCACTTCCTGTCTGGGTGCCCTCTCTAAAAGACCTGCAAGTAGGGCAGGGTAGTTGAACGCCAGGACACTCAGACAGGATGATCCTGGGTGTCAAGAAATGCATGATATGGAGGGGGTGGCCCTTGGAGTGCAAAGCTTCTGAGATCTTCACATTCTCAACTGACCCGTCGCTGAAAACAAAAGGAAAGGAGCCGCCGCTTACACAAAACCCATAGTTCACCAGCGGAACATGCAAGGACATCCATAGTTACTCGCGGATCAACTACTCGTGTGTATTCGTACTCAGTTGTTCTGAGAGTAAACATACAAACATGGGCAATTGAACAACTCTTGCACCATTCTGCCCGTCCCCGTCGTCTGCGAATGAACAACCATGCACCACGACCAACTGCCAAATGACAAGACAATCAAGATCCACTATAAGAACTAGAACCAATCATCACACTTCAAAACACCTGAACCCAGAACCTTCTCACTGCAATCCCCAGACCTTCCACCAGGCCCCTGCCAAGACGCTGAATCCTCACCGGCCGCACCGTCCCGGATCGCTTCGGCGACCCGTCTGAAACGAGCTGCGCTCGAGCTGAACGGAGCTGCAGAACTCGCCGAAACGGTCTGCGGTCTGCGGTCGCTCCTCGACCAAGAAAAACAATACGTTTGTTGGTGGACGGGTCTGATCATATACCCAACAAAGCATCCACGGGACTGGAATCGTTACCTACATGACCCAGATACGACCTGTCTGGAACTGCCAGGACGGACTGCCGCCCCAGAAAGACCCCCGGGTCACCACCAGGCAGTCCGTCCTGGCAGCCCCAGACAGGTCGTGTCTGGGGTACATCGGTGCATGTACCGAACTGAAGAGGGCTGACTAGGCTTAGTGATCAAGGGCTTCAGTCAGGTGTTCTGCAACCAGTCAGGTCTCCTACTTAGATCTCTTAAACCTGGAGTCACATCCAATGGCCGGGTTTTTCGTCCCATCCAATGAGTGGATGATGTGAGGAGCGGGCACCGGTCCGAACCCCCGGCACCTCGAACCTGCGAGCTCTGTGACTGCGAACCTTCATCCGGACACGGGCCTGTTCCATGGAGGACTTGAAGTCTGACGAATCTCTGGGCTGTGCAGCCGTGTGCAGCCCTTTCCGCCCCCTTTCACCGTCTGTCCATTTTCTACAGCTGTCTTCTGTTCATGTTCGGAGGTCAACCAGGGGGTGCCATGACCATCGACCCAAAGTCGCCGCCCAGAACCGCGATGGGCTCCGCGACCAAGAGGGTTTCTGCTTGACGTGGTTGGAACATGGTTGACCTGGTTTTGTCGTCAAAAATCCCCAAACCCAATGTACCACGCCCAAAGCGTGGTTGTTGGATGGAAAATGCATCTTCAGGAGGCTCTATAAAACCACCCTGTGGGTGGTGCTGGTATCCTAGGGTGGTACTTGATTGTGGCCACTCCCTTCATGCGAAGTGCACTTCCCCCTCGTTCCCTCAAAAAGTTCCTCTGAAAGTGCATACTGTTTCTTTTCCAGGCATACATACCTAATATTTATTGCCAACAGTCCTTTTCACGTGCTTTTTTGACACCATAATAGTATGTCCAGTAGTATTTTTATTAGAGTTCTGGAGTATTTTAAGTTCTATAGTGCAATTGCAGGAAATTATGTTCGTTTAACAGTGGCCTACTTGTTGTGATCATTCACAACAAGTAAATATTTCAATGAATGTTCACTCAAATATGTTTTTATAATTCAAATAACGGTGAACCATGTTATAGATGATATACTTACACGTGAAAAGGTTGAAACACCCCAAAGAGGGACGTATTATACAGTAAACAATTTAGGTAGAACAAAAAATTATAGAATTTCAAACACATGAGCAATGACATTAATTTCAAAAACAGTGATTATTGCGAACGGATGGAAAGGTGTGCCCTGGCCCCGTTCTAGCTCTTAGGTCAACATGAAGCTCGCGCGCTAAAGCTCCTTTTTACCTGGTTGGGCACTTGAGCCAAAAGTATATGGCATGTACCTGTATAGCGACTATACTGGGACCCCATCCCTATTGACACCCCCCACATCCGTACTTCGACGGGGAAGGGAGATGAGTGGATGTAAAAACCGGAGAACGAATCACGTTCTCAAAAGTGTATTGGAGGTCAACCAGTATGTCCTATTGAATTGAATTAGCAAAAGATCTTGCATTCGCTTGAAAGTTGGATCAAACAGGCAATGGAGCTATAAGCGGAAAACGTGCACCTACCTATGGTATCATGCGATTACCAACGGTGTGAGACACAATCCTATCTCGCTCCCATGATGCCAAAACGGTCATCATGAATTACCCGCGATCCCTCAGTACTTGAAGTACCGGAAGTAGCATGTCGGTATGACCCCAATGCTCAACCATTCGTGAGTTGTCGCATGTAGTCAGCGCCGACAAAGCCAATGTAGTCCTTGATGAGCTCAACGTTCCTTGGATTTCCCGCTCGGATCTGCTCCTCGAAGGACTTCAATTTCCTTTCTTGGATATCGGATACCTCTATGCCATAGTAGCGGCATGCAACGAGGATCTCCTTCGTGACATTCTTCCTCTCCGATTTGATGGCGGGACTAATGTCGATGAATTTGTATGGAGCGGCACTTTCGTCATCTGGTTTCTGGTAGTAACTATATCGGCTCGCTCCGAAGGTCTTCTTGATCATGCGTCTGATGAAATTTGAGATGAATGCCAATTTCTCGATGATCTCATCCTGGGTCTCAGACTTTCGAGCCTTTGGATCACTCATGCTGCGCTGAGTGCTGCCGACCTCTTTGAGGTACTTGTGGCTAAGCCCGCAGCGGATTGCAGTGATCATCATCGGATGAACAACATTGGCGTGGAATTCATAGATCTGCCACGCTTCTGCTGCAAACACGTCGTCGGTCCATCTGCTCATACCTACGACCTCGGCTCTCTTGAGACGTCTTGGAAACCCAGTATCCGGATCTTTCGGTACTATTGGCCATCTATTGTGCGGAGTGTCATGCCGCTGTCCATCGTCGAACATTCGCAGTACATCTTCACGACTCTCAAAGCAGTTGATGTCGAACGTTGCGTTGGCCAAGCCCTTGATCAACTTCATCAACCTCAGATCAAATTGCTGTGTGACGGCAAAGTTGTGGTCGATGGGGATCGCAGCTTCTTGCGGCAATTCGTCAATTGCGAAGGGGAAAGGCTTCGGAAGTTCATTCCCGTATCCATCTTGAGGGACCTCCCGATACTCGGGTTCACCTTCAGCTTCGTCCGGTCGTTCCTTCAAAATGATAGGAACTTCCTCCTCTTCCTCTCCTTCGGATTCCTCGATCTCAATGACCTCTTCGGCTGTCTTGCGTGCGTTCTTGATGACTTCATCGATGTTTGCACCTGCAGCAGAAGTTGTTTCACCGGAAGAACTGGCTGGGACATCTTTCGGAGGTGATCGTTGATTGCGGTCCCTTGTCTCCTTGGGTACCACATGTGTGAGCTTCCCATTCGCGATCAAAACCGCTACGCAGTGCGGACATATCGTCAATCGCACATCGACTTCGCCAAGACAGTTAGGACACGGTCTTGAATCATAGTCTTTCATCGCTCGGCGGTACACGATCTCCTCGAAGAGTTCCTGCCACTCGGTGCTATCATATTCTGGGTAAACACCACTCTCCTCGATCATACCCAACAGCTTTGAGATTTTGGCGTCGTCCTCGGAGTAGGTATCGTCCTGAACTTCGACCGCTAAGCTCTCAAGCTTTTGAAAACGTGGAATCATGATCGGGTTTCCGTATTTGGACTCTAGAACAAGGTAGCTTCCAGGGTCGGGTTCCCCACTGAGTAACCGGATCCATTCGATCTTCTCAGGCTGTCCGGGTTCCGCATTGTCGCATTGCAACCATGCCCCTTTAACCTCATCGAAGGGAACGACGTTCTCAACCAATAGAGACCCAGTCGCTGAGATGAGAAGTCCGTACTCCTGCAGCTTCCACACCGGAATGTAGAGAACCACTGGGCGATCCCTCATTGCGACCTTACGACCCAGCCAAGGTTTACCCTTGTAGCCCTGCTCCCAGGCCCATGGCGGAAAACATGTGAAGTGGATAGAATCCCTTCCCGATGAACCGAGACCTCCCGGCACTAGCCCTCGTCGCATGATTGAAGTCAGCGCTCCGAGATTGGTAGCGTGAAATGCAGTCACCATAGATAGGGCCATGTCGTTGGTCATTCTCGACCCAATGTGGTCGATGTCGATGGTAACGTCATAACCTCCGCCGTCCGTTGAGTGTGCCGAGGTTGCTCTTACAGCCACGGGAAAGCACCATCCATCGCTATGGTGGAGTCTTCCTTTAGAGATTCCCATGTCCTTGAGTTCGTTAATCCATTCCTTCCCCATCGGGTCATCAGGCTCATTGAGTTCATCAGGGTGAACGCGGACCGCCAACATTTGGAATCTGACCCTCTTGGTCATGCGGAAACACTCATAGTTTTGGTCGAAGTACTTCTCCAAACGCGCCTTCTTGGTCACGATATCTATGTTGCCGTAGTGATAACCGTCTTCCCAAACTGCATTATCACCTAACAGGTCTTCCCATGACACCCATGCGCCTTCATCGCATTTGATTGGTGCGAGTCTTCCTCCTGTCCTGAACTGGCGTCCAATTCGATGTCTCAACTTCGCTCCCAATCGACGACTCAGGGCCTGGCTCGTTTGGCTGTATTCAGGTACTCGACAGTCTGGAGTCGGATACTTGTGGTTGCCGTAGTCGGAGTTCTTTGCAGCGAAAGTGACTCCGTTGATCGGTACTAGTTCAACTTTCCCGACCATCGTCATGGGGTCGATCGGCTTGTATCCCTTCTCCCTCCGTGTTGGTAGGGGATAGAAGTGATGACATGCCTTTGGTGTGAGGGAACTGGAGTGCACAAATGCCTTCTCGACAAATTCATACACCTCTTTCATATCCTTAGGGCCTGCTTCCACAAGCTTCCGCCCATTGTAGGAATGTGGTCCTCCTTCGACTCCATCAGCACTTTCGATCAAGGTGAATCCGTCATGGTCGAACATTGTCACGACTCTTGCTTTTAACATTTCTTTGCGCCTGAACTCGCTGTCGACCTTTCTATCTGGAGTGGGCGACGCTCTCTGCTTCTTCTTCTTAGGCTGTTCGGTTGGATGTCCTGATGGTACATCGTCGGGTGCAACCTCTCCCTTCACTCTCTTCTTCCAATCACTCAACACCGAGGTGACTGTAGGTGAGGATGAAAGGGTCTTATCGCAATTGAGAGTTGTGTGTCCCGACTCCATGCAGTGGATGCAGAATTCTGCCCGCCCGATCTTCTTCTCAAATTCGTCGATGGCATGCAGTATTGATGTCTTCGGGTCGGACATGTCCACATCTTGCTCCTCCTTCTCCTGTACACTTTCAGTCTCCATATCGACACCTTCGGCCTCGGGCTCGCCAGTGGCTCCTGTTCCCTGTTCTGGTTCTTTTCCGATTTCGAAGAAGTGGTCGATGTCGAATTCAGGAAGCGGCATAGTCCTCATGCGGACGAGAATCAGCGCCACGCTTGCCGCCTCATCAGAGTGCGGGTCC